ATCACATGCATCAAAGTACTCCACTGCATGGCTGGTTAGTAAAGGCCTTAAAGTTGAAAAACTAATGACATGGCCCCCTTCTTCACTTGACTTAAACCCTATTGAGAACTTTTGGGCCCTTTTTAAGCAGGAAATTTCCAGTGAAGGTAAACAGTACACCTCTCTGAACAGTGTCTGGGAGGCTGCGGTTGCGGCTGCACAAAAAGTTGATTCTGACCAGATCAAGAAACTGACCGACTCCGTGAATGGAAGGCTTGTGACTGCTATCGAAAAGAAGGGCGGCTATATTGGTCACTGAGGGTTTTTTTTTTTTTTTTTTTTTAATTTCAGAAATGTTTATTTGTAAATTTTGATTGTGTTTATTACACTCACTTTAACAGGTGAAAATAAACAAGTGAGATGGGAAAATCTTTGTTTTTCATTTAGTTGCATAATAATTCTGCACACGTATAGTTACCTAATCATGGTGAACATATAGATATTCTCTTAAGAAGGCCAAAACTTCACTTTTACTACTTAAATGTTCAAGTTTGAGGGTTTGTTAACATTTTGGATTGACCAAGAGCACTGCAGTTGTACAATAACAAAATTAATCCTCAAAAATGTAACTTGCCTAATTGTGCACACAGTGTACAGTTGGCATACCAGAGTCAAGATAAACATTGAAGTGTTGCACTGCCATGATCAATGCCAGCACTTCTTTCTCTGTCACAAAATAGTTTAGCTGGTAGGAATTAATCTTCCTCCAAAAGAAGCTCACTGGATGCTCAACACCATGTTTATCATCTTGTAGCAGCACAGCATCTGCTCTGATGTGACTTACATCTACCTGGACACCCACATTTGACACCCACAGCGTCCTCTACCGATGTGCAAGTTTTTCTTAGCAGGCGTCCAGATGGTTCTGTGGACTGGCCGAGAAACTCAGGAGGGAAAACGAGAGCTCAAACAGAACAGGGGCCTCATACTGTTGCTTATATTGCTCGTTACTTATTACTAGGGAGATCAATTATAATCTTTGTCACAGTGGATGGTTCTCAGTGCTTTTACTAACAAGCAGACAGCAAATGTAAAATAAATGCTTTTATTATGCAAAGATTTAATCAGTGTTGTCAGCACAGTGCAGTAAAAGACAGCGGAAACAGTTCCCATGCATAGCGCACTACAGAACAACTGAGGCCTGACGTTACTGAAGCGGATTGGGTTGTATTTTTGTTTTTTCAAATGCTGCTTTTCTCTGTCAGGCCTAAAAAAGTAACTAAACCCACGATTTCAAAGTTAGCAACAGCAGGAAAAGGCTAAAGTGAAAGAATGAACTCTCACTTGCTCACCAAGAGAATTTCATCTGTGTGTTTACAACACTAACATTTTAAAAATAGAAGCTTCTTAAAAGATTTGTAATGCTGTAAAATTGTGGAAGCACAATGCGTTATTCAGGAGGAGCAACGAATCACTTCTGCTCTGTGGACATAAATGACATCAGGCAAATGGTGTTTGACGAAAAGCCTTTGATGCACCGTTGCTTCCCTGAACAGAGCCTCACTCATATGTGTGCAACTGTAAAAAAGACATGAGAGAATCCTCTGGGCAACCGATGTCCTCCCTCCACTCCCTCACTTCGTCCATGCTGATCGGGAGTGTTTTTAACACGGGGAGTTTGTCGCCCTTCTCGTCCTTGTACTGGGCAATCGACTCAAACGTTGCCACGATGCGGATGATGCTTCTCTTTAAAGTTGTCAGCTGCGCATCCGCCATCATCTGCCCCTTCGTGTTCATTTTGGAAACGTCGTCAGACAGTCTTTGCAGGCTTCCCACTGACTGGAAAAAAAGAGATGATGGTACAAACAGTTCAGAATATTTACTTGATTTACTTGCTCATTGTAGTCTCTCCATGGTCGGGTGCTGATGGCTACATCACGCACTACGTAAAACAAACACAAATAGGATCAGATGCCATTTTCCTTTATCTGATTCCATTCACGCAGGAGCACGTCACTAAAACTAGACCCGTTAAAGACCCTGCAAACGTTTTAAAAATATTCACAAGGAAACATTGACTTCAGGGAAGTAATGCTCTGTGACACCTTTCACTGCTCTCTGTCAAAGTATTTCTTTCCTTAATCTATAGAAGGATGTACAGCCACGAACTGGAACACACCGTTTGTGTTTGTCCAATATAATACTTCATTTAAAAAAAGCTAAGAAATGGTCTTTGATTACCGTTGCCAGTGGTTTCATGAACTTGTTTAGGATGCCTGATTCCAAAGGGATGTCGATTCCGTCAAGCTTCACAGTGTCGTCCTTATGTTCCTGCAGCCATTTGCGAAATTCTTCCATCTTGGACATTAGCTTTGTGAACACATGAAGACACTTCTCCAGTTTCTCACATTTTTCACGTGCACCAAATTTATCAATGAGGCTTTTTATGATTTCTTTTGCAGCCTTGAAGACGGCATCAATAGCCAAGCATTCTTCAATTAATTTGCAAAGTTTGGCAACTGCTTGCAAAACTTGAGCTATGGTTTCAGCTCCACCTTCAGCGGCTGCCTCTGCTGCAGCCTCGGCTGCTGCCTCTGCTGCAGCATCTGCTGCTGCCTCCGCTGCAGCCTCGGTTGCTGCCTCTGCGGCTGCAGTGGCTGCAGCCTCCGCTGCTGCTGCAGCCTCCGCTGCAGCTGCTTCAGCCACAATTCCTAAAACTATCCCCATGCTGACAGCGTGACCTGAAGGAAACACAGATACATGATGGGTCAGTGTGATTGTCTGTATGTTACATTTACCAAATTTCTGTAACATTTTTACACAACTACAACCTTTTACTACGACAGCAGTATTTTCAGGGACACTCTGCCTCCCATGATCACACCCGACTTCATTCTCTCAGTTTCACATCCACTTCTTACCCGTCTGACTGTCCCGTGTCTAGTTTGGTGGAGCCTGAACTCACATTCTTACTGATCTCATGTATACAGCCCATATAATACTCTTGATAAGCTGATTTGCATGTAACCTTCTGATTTACAGAGATAAACAAACCTGTAGCTCAGCAATAGTGGAGGCTGAGAGAAATACAAGTCGTATAGAAAACTCTCCTTAAACAAACTGAGTTAGGAAACAGTTTCTTCAATGAATGTAAACTTTTATTTGACATGAACAGTCAGTTTCAGGACATGGACAGTTGCATGCAGATTTGGTGTAAAAATCTGCATGCATAGATTGCAACAGAATGTAAACAGCATGACATGAAACTCCTCCATTCGCTTTGACCATTGTCAGGTGGAGCCAAGGGTTGAGATCCCAGAAGCAGCCACTGACAAAGAACACTGGCTCTAAGTAAGCAATAAAAAAGACTCTATGATAAGAAATGCTGTGACCTGATGACTGAATGATTACAATTTGAAGTAATTATTCTTAAAATGTAATGTGTGATCTGATGATCGATAGGTTAAGTTGGAGATGATGACTGTAAATGATTTTAACATTGTAATAACTTAAAGGAGATTTCTTGTCATCTTGATCTAAAGTATATGAATGAGGGAGAAGGTGAAGATGTTAAAAGAGCAAATGAAGTTAGTGTCCTTCAGACGGCTCATGTCTGGACATGGCCTATGAGGCCACTGTCCGCAGGATGTTCGCAGAATAAACTCGATACAGAAGCAGTGAATGGTTCCTCTTTTACCAGCATGTATCCTGCGATTGCCAAACTGTGCTCTTTGCTGTTACCAAACAAGTGATGTTAACATATAGACAGGCTGGTTTGTTATGCCATGAGTGATAAATGATCCATCAGAGAGTTGTGTTTTTTACTGAAAGCCTCCTCAGTGAATAACTCGAGCTCTAAAACAGCTACGTTTTTGTTTTTTTGGGGTCGACAAACACATCTGCTGATATGCTTGCAACATGCTGCCAGTTCTTTTACCACACACGTATCCATCAGCGTTGAATTTGATGAAAAAGTTAGATGATTTATGACTTGGTCTGAAACTACATGGTGAACGCTTCAACCTGTCAGGCGACTTTGTTCGGCTGCTGTGGTTTTTCTGTGACTTGTATTGTTGCATTACTTATTTAATAGTTTGCTTTTTATGCGACGCCGCTTTTGGGTGTCACAGAATGCACTTACACACTAAATGCATGATTGACTGTCTTATTATTGATATAAAAACATGCCTGATTGGCTCCTGAAAACCGGGATAGCAATGAACCCAGCAGGTGGAGTATCATTTGTCTTTTGTATTCTTTTCTGGAAACATCAAAACACATCCTCAGTGAGTTTTCAGAAGCAAACACACCCATGTTTATCACAGTGGCTACAGAAAGACACGACTGAGACAGAAGCAGAGCTTGTGTGTCAGGGAGATAGTCGGATTCAGGTACTCACGAGCTGAACTCTGCAGATGACGTCAGACCGGTAGGCAGCACAGAGACGATCTGTGGACAAACTGCTGAGCAGCACTCTCAGTCCTGAGTTTTTATGGCTAATGCAGGAAAGGGGTGGAGAATTAAAACAGCAAACATGATGTGGACAGGAGGATTTTTGAAAAGTACAAGCCTGATTGGGTCGCGGAGGCAGCAGGTGGAGCAGGTCATTCCACACTTCCCTCCCCCCGGGATGCTTTCCAGCTCTTCCTGGGCCATCCCGAGGCGTTCCCAGGCCAGCTGAGAGATATAATCCCTCCAGCGGGTTCTGGATCTGCCTCGGGGTATCCACACCTGGCGCGTTTGTACTGCACACTCTAAATTTCATGCGTATGACAGAATTTAGAACCTTTTCTATGCACTGATGATAAATGAGGCCCCAAGAGTTTGGTTCTGAAGCCCTTGCTGTGCGTGGAGGTGAGCCCGACCATGTCTAGCCGGTAGCGCTCCAGCTCCCACACCAGCTCAGGCTCCTTCCCCGCCACTGATGTGACATTCCATGTCCCCAGAGCTAGTCTACGCCACGACGCCCGGTCCTAGCTACCACCAGGTGGGCATAGCACCTGACCCCGATCTTCTGCCCTGTGGGTGGTGGGCCCTCTGGGCAGTGGCCCCGTGTTGCTTCTTTGGGCTGTGCTTGACCGAGCTCCACAGGGCCCCAAGGCTCGGCCACTGCTCTGGTGTGTATCAGCTCTGGCCTGTGATTGGTCATTACCGCAAAGATGTACTGGTAAAACCCGCATATCCCCGTAAAGCACATCTTCGCTTCTTTTAGAAAGCGTTTGAAATGTCTCTCTTGCACGAATAGTTGAGGAGTAGTTCAAAGACCGCTCCCTGGTAGAGCTATGAGCTGTAACTAACTGTCAACAAAAATGTGGATCAAGTTTAACAGCTCTTAGATCTCTGCGCTGGCTTCTCTGGGGACATTATTGTAGCAAAACTATTTGTTCATGCATATGGAGAGTTGTCTGTCTGTATCTCAATCTGTTCGTCCGAAGTGAGATCTGTCAATGTGTAAAAGAAGTTGTCAATGCAAACTGGAATCTACAGAAGTCATCTCACAATTTCTCTGTCTTTTTACACGTGACTATACTTCTACCATGAGAGAATCTGACCCTGAACAGGATCTGAAATTCAGGGTTTCTGTGACCTGAGCTCAGGATCACAGTTCATTGTGGCTGCTACTGCTCTGCTGCTCTGTACCTCAGCAGTTATGCCGTCAACACATTAGTTTGGTTTGATAAAATGCAGATGGACCTGTAGTGAAGGAATTCACAGACTCTTCCTTGGTAAACATTAATGCAGAAAAAAAAAACAGAGAACTGCTGACTGACTTTCAGAAGAATCCTCCAGACATCTCTCCTGTCAGCACTGAGAACCAGGAAGTGGAGCTGTCAATCACTACAAATACTTTAGCATTCACCTTGATGACAAGCTCTCCTTTGGTTTTCACGTTGATGCTTTGTGCAAGAAGGCTCATCAGCACCTGTATTTTTATAGGAAGCTTGGTAGTTTTAATGTTGACGGTATATTGATGCAAATGTTGTACTCTTGTTTTATTGAATTCATCCTTTCCCTTTTGTTTGTTGGTACAGCTCCCTTTCCCTCAAAAATAAAAACAGATTGCAGAGTATTGTGAGGCTGTGCAGCAAAATTGCAGGATCAACCTGAATGACCTCTCAGCCCTGCACCAACTCAGAACCTTAAGCAAGGCCCGTTCAGTCCTTATGGATCAGAGCCAGCCCTAGGCTCACGAGTTCCTGAATACACATCTTAGACCTCCTCCATGTCAAAATCACTGTTGTTATTCAGATTTTGTATATGTAAACTTTAGCTGGGTTGGCTGCTCTCCCTCAAGTGAAGCCACAACAAATGATTATTATTTTTGAGGTTTAAAATTTTACTCAAAAACTGCTCTGCACATATCGACTTTTTTGTCTTTTTTAATTCTAGCTTCTGCTTAATTTTCCTACACGTTACCAGCACCACACGTTGCCCCTCTAATATGTTGTAAATTAGTCTTGTAGTGAAGGTTGGTGTTGCACTGACGTGAAAAAACCTGTTGCACATTTTTGCAAAGCTTACGTGAACTCGGCATGTAAAAGGCAAACCTTAGATTTACTCTAAATGTGACAAGATGCAGCAAACCAAGGCAGGTTCATGGACACGTTGAAGTGAATGGGTTGAAGATCAACTTCTTGTATGCCTTCATCTGATACCCTCCCTGTTGGGCTTTCATGAGAGGTCTACACCATTTGTACTATTTTTAGTGATACTCTATTGTGTTACACCTTTATTTCTCATTCATTATCAATCTGACCTCTTTCAAACATAATCGCCCCAACCCCAAAAAACGGAGACCTTTAGGCTCCCAACAGATTTATGGATCACTTAAAAAGTAGTAGAAAGCACCAGAGGGTTAGCGAGGGCGGAGAGGTATCTGAGCTGAAACTGTCAGTGTAAGCAATTAGTGAGAACAGACAGTTATTTTTCTCAGCGTCCTTGGCACTGGGCACATGATTCTGGGAATATTCAGGCAGACACAGGCAGATGCTGACTAACATCTGAATGTTGCTACACCTGTTTATGTTGTAATAGTAGGCTGTCCAAGAGAGTATAAAAGGTAGACTGACTCCTGGTTTTAGATCATTAGCGGGGAGTCTTCAGTGATCTGGGACACAACATCACTTGGACCAGAGAATCATTGAGGCATCTTGAGTTGACTACAGAGAGCTTCATCACACAGAACTGAAGGACCTGTGAGTAGAACATTTAGAATATTTTCGATTTTTGAATACCTCTTGCAAATCTGCATGTATGAAATAAATGATCTGCATTCAAAGGTTTGTAGAAAAACTCATGGACCTCAACTAAATGAGAACAGATATGAGCCTCTGCTCCAGAATTCTGTACCGAAATGTAAAAGTTGCAGTAAATACAGCAGTTACATTTTGAAATTAATTAGGGTCCGAGCACACCAGTGCAAGGACCCTATTGTAACCGTTGTGATTATTATTATTATTATTATTTTATTATTATTATTTTACCGACTTTTGAAACGCGTTTTTGCTCAAAAATGGCAATTTTTGGCCATTTTCAAAATCAAAATCCTCCTACAGGGTTTCTCGTACACACCTGACATTTGGCAGGCACAAACTACATGACATGGTGACTCAAACTTCTTCAAATGCTCCGCTGAGGCCCGGTTTGGAAATGGCGGGCCGTCCAATTTCGATCAATGGCCATTTTGTCCATTTTCACAGTGTTTTTTGCATTCAACTGACTCTTGTCAGAAGGTTGTTTCACCTACACTGACAAGATTTGGTGGGCATGTGTAGCAGGTCAGGACGCACAAAAAAGTCAATCAGCGCCAAACCCTAAACCCAACATGAAGTCCGTTATGTTGAAAAACCCCTGTGACAATTTTGGCTCATTTGGCTGACTTTTGGCCATTTTTGACCATTTTCACAATCTATCTCCTCCTACAGGGAAGGTCGTACACACCTGAAATTTGGCCAGCACAAACTACAGGAGGTGGTGATTACACGTTAGTAAAACGGTCCGCACAAGTGTGACGGCGTGGAAATGGCGCCCCCCTGAATTTGGCCACAACGCCATAAAACACCAGAATACGAGACGCGCTGTGTCTGTGCTCTAATCCGCCTGAAATTTTACACGCGTGCTCCGAGTCTCAGCCAGAGCGTGTTTCCACCCCGGCCAACACGCACGCCGCCGCGGCTCGCCACTAAACAGGAAGTGGCTCGTAACTAGGCCACACTTGCTCCGATCTGTCCCAAACTTGACATGTCGGATCACAGTCCCGCCGTGCGCGAAGGCCGACAAGCGTAGGGCGAGGACCCGTCCATCGCCGCTTGCGGCTTTAATTGATTTTATTTTCTTTAAACCACATGGTGTCCATAAAATAAGCACTAAACTAAGAAAGGAGCGAAGTACACTAAGTATTTAACAAGCAACTGTATTGCAATTACTGATTTGTATGAAATATTCCCTATTGTAGCCTGAGGTTTTCATTGCCATTTTTCTGTCTGATTAATATGCACTTTTAAAACACCACATTAGTGAAGGCTCATGGGCATGTATATTTAATAGAAAAGCTATCCTCTGTTTTACAGTTGCACAACTAAATTCAGGCAACAAAAGGCAGGTGTGGAACACTGGAGCACTGACTGTTGATTTGGTGTCATTCTGTCCATCTCTGATTACACGTAGTGTAAGAAGACACCACCTGATGGCAAGAGGTGTGAGGTTCACTATGTTGTAAGATGAAGGCAGAGCGATTTGAAAAGGAGACATGGAAATAAATACTAATGGGTGGGTTATAGCATGGAAATAGCACATTAAATGCACTTATATAGCACCTTTTTACCATAAAATCTACACATTACCAAAAGGGGCAGAGCTGCTATGCCAGGTTCAACATGGGGTTCAGTGTCTTCAGCACGTGGACAGATGCAGCCAAGGACTGAACCGCCAACTCTTGGATGAATAAACAACCTGCTCTACCGCTTGAGCCACAGCCGTGATTGGTGTTTCTTTTTTCTTTTTTTTTCCTCTTTCCAGAACATGCTACCACTTCCTTTACAGACACAAAGTGTCAACTTGATTCAAATTCACAATGCACCTCACTACGTTTCTTGTGAAATAACGTCAGCCAGCAGTTACTGGCAGCAAGATGAAATCAGCTGGCCGTGTCTGTAAAAAAATAAAAAATAAAATAACTATGTGATTCACTAACATCCACCATTTGTCTAGTGGAGGCCTCTTCAGCATATCCTCCCTGCGTCGGGTCCATTCCTCTTGGCCAGACGATTCTGTTATGGCCTGTGTCCACAAGGTGTGTGTGCGGGACCCAAAACAAAGAGGAAGCGGGGTAAAGGAATAACAGGCTTTTTTCAGGGAAACCAGGGTATGTGGGACAACGGGGGGCAGGTGAGGGAATCCGGGGCAGGTGCGCTGGTGGCCGCGGTGGAGGGTGATCTCCCGTGCAGGTATCCGTGCGGCAATCTCCCGTGCTGGTGCTCATGTGGCGATCTCCTGTGCTGAATGTACCACTCGTGGAGTTGGCAATCGTCTGGCGCTGGAGCACAGACGGAACGGTGGCTTTATCCAGCGCGTAACGAAGGTGATGAGCTGCAGCTGTGTCAGTGCAGGGGCGTCCTCCTCCAATCCGCCCCGCCCAGCCCAAAAACATAGAAACACACACACTCCAGCCGCCTCCAAGAAACGTCAATAAATACAAACTACAATGAAACACAACACAATCACCACAAAACCAAAGCAAAAGCACCACAGCAGTAACTGATTAACTGTTTAAATGTGTGTCTTCTCAGGACAACGTAGAGCCCGACCGTTCCAAAAATGGCAGAAATTGAGGAAGCAATTGAAGGCGTTGATGAAGCCATTGAAGGGGCTGAAGGAGGCATCGAAGAACTGCCAGAAGAAATACAAGAGGAAATAGAGGCCGAAGTAGCTGAGGCCCGCACTGAGGTTGCAGAGTTTTCAAAAGTTGCTGAGACTTTGAAAACCTTCCTTAAGTTTGTCACGACAAGCATACCTAAGGTGGTAGCATTTGTTGGGAAAAATGTGGCCATTGGTGTGATCCTTTGGGGAGTAAATGTGAGTCTCAACAAATTAATAACCAAAAAAAGTCCCAAAACCGAGGCTTTCGAAGTCAAGCAGAAACGTGCTGCCATTAAGGCCCTGAGCTCCGTGATCAAGACTGAGACTGACTTAAGTAAGAAGGCCTTGGATTGGATGAAGGAGCACAAAGATGACATGATCACCCTGGCAGGGTTTGAGGTGCCATTGGAATCGGTTATTGCAAAGTATCTCACACCAATATCTGAGGTATGTGCGACACAACAACACACTGTTTTCAGTCAAACACATCATATTGTGTTATGATCAGGGCCGGGTGTTGCTTTGATTTGAACAATTCAGATTTTTAGCAATTCTCCGTTACTATTCTTTTGACGAGTGGTGTCAAAACAAATGACAGGCTTAGCTCACAGAAAGAAAATCCCTCATAGGTACTATTCAGGTGTATTCTGCAATCTGGATATCATTACATCAATCTGCAGCGAATCAATTTAAACTTTGAGTCACGTCTTACCCATTTGCAGTAAAGCTTCAGTTTTGGGTGTCGTGATAGTGATTCTCTAGAGTGGACACTTGGAAACCCTGCCACATGGATTTGCACAGCAGAGTTGTTTTGTGTCAGTTTGAGAGCATCAAAGCTTTGTCGAGCTCTACAACAAAAACACGAGTCACACGATGCACTGTGTTTTAAATGATGTCACAACTCTGCATTATTTGAAACTTTCAGAGGTGTAAGTCAGAAACAGTGTAGTAATCAATTCTTGACTCATCTAATGGTCGGTATTTTCTGTTTTTGTGTTTCAGGCTGTTGACTCAGCCTACGATATCGCAAAGAAACTTAAGGGCAAGCTTGATGGAACCATCTACTACAACATCCCAACTGGAGGAGACATGAGAGACTTCCTCGCAGCCGGTGACGCATTCCTCAAAGGCTTCAGTGACCTGGACGAGTTCATCGCCAAAAATCTGGGCAAGATTCCACAGCTGGCGACCTTCCCAGTGAAACAGGGAGACATCGATGATCTTACGACTCAGCTGAAGGTTGCCAAGGACCTACCTTTGCGGTAAAGAGATGCGATGCCTTGACTTTTGATTAGTAGAGACAAAAGTCAGAAAGGCCAGTTTTCTTAAAATATACAACCGTTATTACACAGGTTTTGTATCAGGCAACGCAGGATAGTTGCAGCTTGCTGTGTGACATCATGGATTTGAGCAGCCAGAGATGTATTATGGTGGATTATGATGATGGATGTTATGTGCTGACTGATGTCGTGTTCATCAGTTCTACATTGATGTGTTTCTCTTTGCCTCTGACGCTTTGGAAAAGGGAATAAAACAGCTTTGTGTGATGGTGCATGTTATCGCTGATCATAATAAACGTCTATTGATTAAACATTCACTGGCTCTTTGGTCTGACTGGTCTCATTTCACACTAAAAGAATGGTCTCTCATTTCAGATTAAGCCATTTGCCAGTAATTAACAAAGAGGCAGAAACAGATAAAACACAAACACTGTATTCATTCATTCACACCGCCTATGAACAGGTGGTGAGCAGTCACGGGTTCGGCCTGTCTGCCCAACAGAAAACAGAAGATAGCAGAATGATATTAGCCTACCGATCCAGATACCTGAAAGGGACAAACACTGGAGAGAAGTGGACGCAGAGTTTGTACAACAGACGTGGAAATAAGAACAGGAGAGCAGCAATCATCTCGATGATGATGATGATGATGATGATAATGATGATGATGATGAAAAAGTACATGAAACACTTACAGAAGTGGACCAACCTGTACTCGGTGGTTAGCACCGTGGCCTCACAGCTACAAGATCTCCGGTTTGCGTTACGTTTAGGACGCCTGGGATCTTTCTCTGTGGAGTTTGTATGTTCTCCTGTCTTCTCCCAGAGCCTTGGCCTTCTCTCTCTTGCTCATCTCTTGCAGGTCTGTGGTTGGGCGGAGCCTACAATCAGCTGACCTGGTACACCTGGCCAGTATCCCTGGTTATGTAAGCCAGCCTGCTGAGCCAGAGCTCTCTTCTCCCACATCCAGCCCCCCATGTGCTTGTCTTTGTCTTAGTTTGTTTGTCAATAGATGTTCTTTAGTTGCAGAACCTCTGTGTGCATCTCCTCCTCTGACATGAGCACCAGCTCATGTCACATGCTATTTCAAGTCACTTCTCATTGTAAGAGTGGTAAGAAAAAAGACCAAAAAGAATGAGACCAGTCAGACCAAAGAGCCAGTGAATGTTTAATCAATAGATGTTTATTATGATCAGCGATAACATGCACCATCACACAAAGCTGTTTTATTCCCTTTTCCAAAGCGTCAGAGGCAAAGACAAACACATCAATGTAGAACTGATGAACACGACATCAGTCAACACATAACATCCATCATCATAATCCACCATAATACATCTCTGGCTGCTCAAATCCATGATGTCACACAGCAAGCTTCCAGCACAGTCATACTGCGTACAGAAGCACACCCCTGGTACACCAAACCTCGTTAACCGCTAAGTAGACGGTAACCAATATCCCCTACAGCTGTATTCTATCATGACATGTTTCTGATCATATTATTTCTCTATTTGTAAAAACAAAAAGTAAAGCAGTTTTAGCGTGAACAGCAAAAGATGTTTATTTTCACACCAGCGTGCAGCGATATCTGTTTTCATGGTGTTCTGATATGAGCCTCGCCTCACTAGTTTGGGTTTATCAGACGGTCTGAGTGAAATAGATAGAGGGCAGACAGGAGTTCTTCCACAAACTTAGAAAAAGGGTCATTTGACAGATAATACAGTCATTAAGCTGCTTATGGGTCAGCTAGAGGCTTGTACTATTGACCTATACCTCTCAGCTACATTAAGATTGTCATAAACCCTGTATGATCTGAAGCACTGACACAGATCATAATTATTCCAACCTTTAAAAACCACTGCATAGGGTTAGGAAGCAAAGGTTTACTTTAATGTTTGTTTTACAGTCAATTGAACGACAACTGTCCTGCTTTGCCTGATTCAAAATCTGTGTAATAACGGTTGTATATTTTAACATATATTTAGTCGTGTAATTGTCCAAAATATGTGACTGAATACATAAAAATCTCATCAGGTGATGTTGTTGTTTCTGGTCGTCGTGTTAAAAGCAGATGCAATGAATTAGCAAACTGAGGAAAAGTTCAACTTGTGTTTTCGTTGGTATAATGTTTCTAATATTTCCTTTTTTTCCACTCATAAATTATCAGAACATTTCCATTTTTAGTTACAGGATGAAGTCTGTGTAATGAGCTACCAGCACCTTTTCTGTTATATTTTGGTTTTGTTAAACATTTGCAGATTTTATATCATTTAATGACAAAAAAAAATTGCATTTTCACTTCAGTTGCGCCATTAAATCACAGAAAATGTCCAGTTTTTCCACTACAGATACACAATTGAATGACAAACCAATGTCCCATTTTATTATAGTTTTTTTATTTGTTTCTTTTGTCCCGTGGACAGTTTTTTAGATGATGGGAAAAAGTTGCGTTGTTTTACAGATTTATGACTTAGAACACGGAATGTAAATAATGAGTGAAGAAGCTGGTTGAAAAGAAGCATTAATGATGGGTACAGGAGGCAACCACTAGATATTTTTTTTTAAACACAGGTAGGCCTGACCCTAAATTCATCACCAGACACAAACCAGAGATCAAAACAATTGTAGTCTGGACTTATAATCAGATGGAGAAAACCGGCCTTTCTGACTTTTGTCTCCACTAATCAAAAGTCAAGGCATCGCATCTCTTTACCACAAAGGTAGGTCCTTGGCAACCTTCAGCTGAGTCGTAAGATCATCGATGTCTCCCTGTTTCACTGGGAAGGTCGCCAGCTGTGGAATCTTGCCCAGATTTTTGGCGATGAACTCGTCCAGGTCGCTGAAGCCTTTGAGGAATGCGTCACCAGCTGCGAGGAAGTCTCTCATGTCTCCTCCAGTTGGGATGTTGTAGTAGGTGCTTCCATCAAGCTTGTCCTTAAGTTTCTTTGCGATATCGTAGGCTGAGTCAACAGCCTGAAACACAAAAACAGAAAATACCGACCATTAGATGAGTCAAGAATTGATTGAAAGTTTCAAATAATGCAGAGTTGCGACATCATTTAAAACACAGTGCATCGTGTGACTCGTGTTTTTGTTGTAGAGCTCGACAAAGCTTTGATGCTCTCAAACTGACACAAAACAACTCTGCTCTGCAAATCCATGTGGCAGGGTTTCCAAGTGTCCACTCTAGAGAATCACTATCACGACACCCAAAACTAAAGCTTTACTGCAAATGGGTAAGACGTGACTCAGAGTTTAAATTGATTTGCTGCAGATTGATGTAATGATATCCAGATTGCAGAATACACCTGAATAGTACCTATGATTTACCAGCAGTGACCAAATTATTGGACAAATTTAATTTCCAGCTTCCATAAACTGTATAAAAACAGCTGTGAACATGAATATGACATGTCTTGTCTAGACATTTTCTTTCTGTGAGCTAAGCCTGTCATTTGTTTTGACCCGACCCATCAAAAGAATAGTAACGGAGAATTAGGAATCTGAATTGTTGTCTGTGAAGATTCTCAGTCATCCAGGTCATGGTTATTCTCGTAGTTTAATCGTAGCAACTGGACTTGCTTGAGTCTCTTGAAGACGTTCCACCTCTCATCCAAGAGGCTTCATCAGTTCTGACTGACTGGTTGGGAGTTCCAGATACTGATATGCTTTAGAAGCCATCAACATTTGAGTTTCGGTTTCAGTTGGGGGTTTGTTGCTCCTCCTTCTCGTTATGCGAGTCGTTAGCACTCCCCCTGTCAGAATGGCGTTCGTTAGGGTCTTTTGTGGCTAGATCTGAATGTGGGTTCATCTTCATGGGGAGAGTTCTGGAACTGCCCCATTGTGGCAGGGAGATTACCAACGACTCACATAACGAGAAGGAGGAGCAACAAACCCCCAACTGAAACCGAAACGCAGGTGTTAATGGCTCCTTAAGTATATCAGTATGTGGAACTCCCAAACAGTCAGTCAGAACTGATGAAGCCTCTTGGATGAAACGTCTTCAAGGAACTCAAGCAAGTCCAGCTGCTGTGATTAATCTACGAGAATCTGAATCGTTCGAATCAAAGCAACACCCGGCCCTGATCATGACACAATATGATGTGTTTGACTGAAAACAGTGTGTTGTTGTGTCGCACATACCTCAGATATTGGTATGAGATACTTTGCAATAACCGATTCCAATGGCACCTCAAACCCTGCCAGGGTGATCATGTCATCTTTGTGCTCCTTCATCCAATCCAAGGCCTTCTTACTTAAGTCAGTCTCAGTCTTGATCACGGAGCTCAGGGCCTTAATGGCAGCACGTTTCTGCTTGGCTTCGGAGCTTTGATGGGGTAATAATTTGTTGAGACTCACATTTACTCCCCAAAGGATCGCACCAATGGCTACGTTTTTCCCAACAAATGCTACCACCTTAGGTATGCTTGTCGTGACAAACTTAAGGAAGGTTTTCAAAGTCTCAGCAACTTTTGAAAACTCTGCAACCTCAGTGCGGGCCTCAGCTACTTCGGCCTCTATTTCCTCTTGTATTTCTTCTGGCAGTTCTTCGATGCCTTCTTCAGCCCCTTCAATGGCTTCTTCAATGCCTTCAATTGCTTCCTCAATTTCTGCCATTTTTGGAACGGTCGGGCTCTACGTTGTCCTGAGAAGACACACATTTAAACAGTTAATCAGTTACTGCTGTGGTGCTTTTGCTTTGGTTTGGGTTTAAAAAGTATAAATGGATCCCTAAAAATGTAGCCTGTCTCATCCTTTGACTCTCTATATGGACAGCCTGCTATTGGTGCAGCACCTTAACTCTACCAGACTAGTTTACAGTATATAAGTTCAACTGATCTTTGCTGTAAAAGCACACACAATACAGAATGTGTGGCTATATACAGTTGACATTACACCCGAGATCTTTCTCCCCGTGCAGTGTGGGTTCCCTCCAGGGACTCCGGCTCCCACACAGTCCAGAAACATGTTGAGGTTAATTGGTGATTCTAAATTGTCCGTAGGTGTGAATGTGAGTGTGCTTGGTTGTCTGTCTCTAAGTGTAGCCCTGTGATAGACTGGTTACCTGTCCAGGTGAACCTAACTTCACCCTGAGTCAGCTGGGATAGACTCCAGCCCCCCACGACCCTAGTGAGGATTGAGTGGTGTATAGATAATGGACGGATGGATGGAGATAATGGAGGTGTGCCTCCGATTAACTCAAATGCTGTCAATTAACGTATCAAAAGCTTCCAAAGCCATGACATCATCATCTGGGCCTTCTCTAATAGTTTGAAGGGAGAGTAATCTTGGTGTATGTAAACTTCTGACTTTGAAGAAAGTAGTAAAAAATTCCCTTAAAAAAGTCTCTCTCTCTCACTATTCTGGTGTTTAGCAATTTGAGTGATTAATTAATTTTGGTAATCCTAACTGATCTAAAACAGGAAAAAAAATTGTCTGATTTAATGTCAGACAGTGAGAAAAAATAGGTTATATATCCTTTTATATAGTGAATGTAATCATAGAGTATAGACCAACAACATATACAATAAATACAGGATGTCATTAGAAAGTCTTGTTACAGTTTTAAACACTAAAATTTACATTTTATTGTAAAGTGCTGTGACCTTTTTGAACTGTTTTTCAAAAGCTACCACAGGAACAGTTGCTACAGTATACCATAGCAGTGCATCTCAGTGTACTTGTTAAATACTTGGTGTCCACACAACAAGCACTAACCTAAGAAAGGAGCGAAGTACACTATGTGGTTTAAAGAAAATAAAATCAATTTAAAAATGTAACGGTGTTGTATTTACTGCAACTTTTACATTTCAGTACAAAACTCTGGAGCAGAGGCTCATATCTGTTCTCATTTAGTTGAGGTCCATGAGTTTTTCTACAAACCTTTGAATGCAGATCATTTATTTAACACATGCAGATGCCAAAATCAATTTTTGAAAATCAATACTGATTTGAAGGTTGTAAATGCAGAAATACAAAAGTTAGTCAACAGTCAATATTTGCCTCCTCATCTATTCTAAATGTTCTACTCACAGGTCCTTCAGTTCTGTGTGATGAGGCTCTCTGTAGTCAACTCAGGATGCCTCAATGATTCTCTGGTCCAAGTGATATTGTGTCCCAGATCACTGAAGACTCCCCGCTAATGATCTAAAACCAGGAGTCAGTTCAACTTTTCACTCTCTCTACTGGGACAGCCTACTGTTACCACACAGACCAGTGTAGCAACAGTTGGGTGGAACAGCAGCCTGACCTCCGTCTTATCAGGAAGTCCTTTCACTGTTTTACCGGAAAACACTTTGAATTCCTGTGAATTTTTTGGAATCGTGTTGATTGCGATATAAACACGACGTCTCTTCCTAAGAACTGCTGAAGCTGACAGTTTCCGGTTAGTTTCTTCCTTATCTTATGACCCACACTTTGCCCCTCTGCTGCTTTCTACTTGTACTTTTGCTTCCTCATACCAATGGCTCTTTACAGTTTCACTGGCACATCAAGTGTGGGAGTGGGAGTGAGTTATGCGCCTGAGAACAAGTCATCACCTGTGCAGGTTTTACACAAGTGTACATTTTTTCATGTTGGTGCAGCACCTTAACTCTAGCAGACCGATTTACGACATAGAAGTTCACCTGGTCTTTGCTGTGAATGCAGAAAAATACTGAAGATTGAAATGAAAAAGACCCACATCATACAGAATGTGTGGCTATATATGTTCCTTATTAACTGTCAATTATTAAAAGCTTAAACCAACAGATCAGCTTAAAACATGTAAATGACATAAAAAGGAGGTGTTTAACGCGTCATGTGACTTTTCTTCTGCACAAAATGAAACGATCGTCTGCAGCTGCTTCAGTCAACACGTTGTTTTTATGGAGAACACGAGGAATGTTTAAAAAATGATGATGGTACAAAGCACTGATCCTGCAAATGGTGCCAGACAGGAACGCTGGTAGAAAACTGTTAAACATGTAAATAT